CCCGGTCGGCGCGGCCTGTGGGACGGTGGGTGGGGCTGCGGGTAGAGGAAGGGAAGGACCCGGGCCTGCCAGGTGACAGGTGATTGTGACACCGCGGGCCCCCTCCAGCCTCCGGAGCACTAAGCTTCCTTCATCCCCCTTCGGGGGCTTGGGGGGATGGTGGGAGGTAATGTTGAGGGAAGACTGCAGAACGGGAGATTGGGCAGAATTTCTTTCAGAGAATTCCAACAAAGTGGGGAAAGTTTCATTCAGCGGTCCAGGGCAGAGAGAATATAAGGTCTCAAGGCTTGCAGAAGTAAATGTCTGACACAAAAGAAAGACGCAGAGAGAATTCAGGTGAAGACATTTCTAGCTCCGGAGAATGGATACCGACCAGGCAGGGATGTGGGTCGCCCACGGCTCCTTCTTGGACAGGGATCTGGCTGACTCTGCAAATTAGACTACACAGCCACTGTCCTAAGGAAGCCTCCGCTGGGTTGTGCTTTTTACAAGTCATTTGCCCAGTTTGGGGTAGTAATTTCTTACTGAAAATCTCTTGACATCCTTCATGGAGTAATTCCCAGAGAATATAGCCCTCACATTCTAAGGCATACACTTCTTTATGACATTTCAATATTAGTATGATTATGTAACCTTTCAGATCAAGTTGTATCAACATACCCTCTCTTAGGAGGCAGGCATCCTTGGCTTATACATTCCATTGTGTGACTCACTAGGGAGTTCTACACTAATAGGCAGGGAGCATGTGTGACCTACTGCAGTTCCAGAGGAGCCCTCAGAGGCTCCCTCTCAGCCACTGTTATTGGCTGTGTGGCCTGGAACATCACTGCAGTTTTTGTGTCTTAGCTTTCCTTTTATGGACCAGAGCTAATAGTGGTAATCTCAGTCGCTCAGGGAGAATTACCTGTACATGCCTGTAAGCCACAGTCATATCTCTTGTGGAAGTGATTTTTCTCAGTTAGTGGCTCAAGTACAGCACGATTGTGGCTCCTTGGGCTTGCAAGGCAGGCAGCGGCACCACTGAGCTAAATCCCCGGCCATTTTTGCTTGTGCTTACCAGTCTTAGTTCAAAGATCATACTTAGACAGTTATGGGAACTATTGACGTTTTGAAAGCATACTTTTTAAAAAAGCATACTTCGATATATCTCAATTTCTGAGAGTTTGGTAGAGGGGAAAAAAGCACCAAAGTAATTCTTTGTCTTTATCATTAGCTGAGCTAAGAGTGACACAATCCATCGTGGTGATTCAATATCTTGTATCCTGGTTTCAAATTCTAGTTTTACTCTTGATTGGGTGATTTTGAAAGTCACTAAACTTTGTGCTTCAGTTTCTTCATCAGAGATATTGATGATTAGATGATAATACCTATTTAGTGTTACTGTGAAGATTAAGTTAATTGGGCTCTATGCCTTCCATAGAATAGCACTGGCACATAGTAAGCATTTTTTCTACAAAAGTACTTAGTGCCTGTCATCTACCAGTCACTGGGGATCTAGGAGGGGATCTTGTTGTTGTTAAGGTTAAATTCCAGTGGGGAAAGTTTGTCAGTCAACAAATATGTAATATGTTAGGTGGTAAAAGTGTTAGGAAAAAAACCCCAATAATGCAGATAAAGAGGGAGAGAAGGACAGAACACAGAGTCGTACTATTTAAGTAGTAGGGTGGTCATGGAAGCCACCTCTGGTAAAGTGACATTGAGAAAACTCCTGGAAGAAGGAAGGGAGGGACTTCTGCAGAAGAGGAAATTGCTAAGGAAGAGGGTGGAGAACGCAGGTGGGGTGTGGCAACTGAGGAGGTGAATTGTTCAGCAAGGATGGGCAACTGAGACTGGTGGTACCTGGCTCCTCCCCTCAGAGGTGGAAAGACGGAGGGAGCTGCTGAGCAAAGGAAGAGCAGTTTGCCTTCTGTTGGGGTCGCATCCCTCCAGTAGTTTTGTGGAGTGGCTTTGAGGGAAAGGATGAAAGAGGGAGAGAAACACAAGGTCCTAATGGGATAATTAATAATGTGAAATAGAAAGAAAAGGGCTAAAGGTGTAGGGAAAGTGGGAAGGGTAGGGGAAAAGGAGTAAGGGGAAAGAAAAGAAACATGAGAAAATGAAAAAATGGAAATAAAGTGTTTGTAAATGGGGAGGAGAGGAGGGGGTGAAGGGAGGGCAGGGACAAGGGGAAAAAATGAGAACCAAGACCTGTCATGTAAAGGTACAAGATCCCAGCAATGAATGTAACTGTACCTAAAATGTACCAATAAACTAAAAAAAAAAAAATAAAAAAAAAAAAGAAAAAGAAAGAGGGAGAGAAAAAGGTACTTAGAAGGCTCATGTGCCAATCCAAGCAAGAGGTAATAGTGGTTTTGACAGGTGGAAGTGGTGAAGATGTGAGAAACCATGGGACCTTGATACTTCCTAGTTATTATCATTATGAAGCTTTGACAGTTTATATCCCTTCTGGGTCTCTTTCCTTATTTGGAAAATTAAGGTGTTGGACTCATTCATCATTCCCTCTTAGCTCTTAGAATGTTATCTGGTTCCTAGAAAGCCGTATAGATACCAACCAAATTTAAATGTGTTTGATGGTAGGTACTGCTGAATAAAAATAATCTTGAGTTGAATCTTGTGGTAAGTGCTTTTGTAGGGTGAAAATAACTCTTTGATTTGTTTCATGAGTGGAATTTAAGGTGTTGGATTACTGAAGATGAGTTTCTTACATTTTAGAAATGTAAAGAATAGGAAGGTATTGAACCTGCCCAGAATACTTTGTCATGGTAAATTTTGTATTCCAAAAAGGCTTCATTCCCTCTCAATCAGTCTACACAGTGGTTAATTTTGTACATGGTAAGCAGAAAGAAAGACTAAAAGAAATTTTTGTTGTAACTAAAAGCTGAGCAGGATTGAACCTCTTACAGGGAAAAGTCACTAACATATTAATGAATTGTTGAGTTCAAAAAATCTTTTTCAGAATTGTAGAGTGAAGGATAGGCAAACTTTGCACTGTGCTTTGAATACAACTGCTTGTATCTAAAAATCATTAACCAAGATTGTGATCCATTTAAAAATATAACTGAGCTCTCACCACGAACTGCAGTACTACTAGAAACTACTAAAAAGGCTATAAAAGGGAGGAGGGCAAAGACAATTAGCACTGAGAAAAGTATAAACAGGACTTTGAAGATAGACCTTACTAAAGGAACTTTCCAGATAAAAACAGCCGATCATGTCTCTTTTTTGCTTATCCTTGTATATGTTTTTTTGGGGTACTGGGGATTAAATTCAGGACCTTGGGCTTGCAGGGCAGGCAGCGGCACCACTGAGCTAAATCCTGGCCCTTTTACATATTTTACTCAAGTGTATACATGTAGAATTTCTAACACTGGGTGAAGAATAAAGCATTGGCAGTGATTTAACAGCCATTTGATCATTGTGGTTATGAGCAGTGGTACCATGGACCAAGAGAGATTTTCAAATGATTGCAAGAACCTCTCACAAAAAGAATGACCTGTCAGGGTCCCTGGGTATAGCTGCCAGCTCAGAAGTCCCTGTAACAGTAAAAGATCTGTGTCCCTTTTATGTTCTGTTCTACAATATTGCTATTTATTTTGATGTAAACATAGTGTGCTCTTACACTTGTACATTGAGTAAAATAACCATCTCAAAGTTGACTGTGTTTATTACCCTGTGGCACTGACTCCTTCCCCATCTCATGGCTGATGGGTGGTCATAGCCCACTTTGAGGAATAAGACCCTGCAGAGTGTTCTGGGCCCATCCAGGCTTTCCGTTCTCTGTAACTGTTTTTGTTGGTCCAATCTCTTTTCTCATGATCAATATTTATGCAGGCAGCAAAACACACAAACTCAGTATTCTTTTGTTTACCTACTTATGTAGGAAGTCAAACATTTATCAAGCTATTTTTTGATAGTTCAAAATATAATTACAGTTTTAATTACTTTAAGAACTATAGTTGTGGTTATCAAATAATTATTTTAGGTGCATACACACAAATTCATGTTGTATCTAAGTAATTAGGGGATAGCTATAAAACTTGGCAGTCAATTCCAGTTCCCGACATTTCATTATTTTTGGTTTATTTATGAGGAAACTAGAACCAACCACCTGTGTGTGTTTTGTTACCTCAGGAAGGATTGATTTCAGAAAACCTCCCCTTTGAGAAGACAATCTTGATCCCATTCCCCGGATGGGGCTCTGGGCTTCAAAGGTGTCTGCCCTTCCATGCCCGGGGGGGGGGGGATGTTGGGAATGTCCCAGTGAGGTTTTTAGCAAGACTGAGAAGCCATGCTGGAGCTACCCCTTCCTGAGAGAGCTCCCTCCTGTGAAGGGTAACAAAAGCCTGGCTGGCAGGGAAACAGAATGTGTTCTGCCTGAGGTTGCAGAAAGAACCCTGCTTCCAATGCTCAGAATGGGCAGCCTGAATGAACAATATTTTAAGGTCCTTCCTTTACAGTGGGGCTTTGTGCTTGCCCATGCACTGAGAGTCAAGGGTGTATTCCTGCACTTCTCTTCAGACTCACCATCCTGCAATTCCAAGGGGCAAATCTGTGAATCAGCCAAGATTTTACCTGTGAGGAATGTGATGGGCCTTGGAGGCAATGCCCCAGGCCTACTACACTCTTGCTTTGCTTGACACTTATGTTTTCGTTTGCTGGCATATAGTCCTCCCTTTCGTTGCCTCTGTGATTTTATTTTCTTGTTGTCAAGTAGTATAAAGGGCTTCTTAGTTTTGTTGTTTCATGGAAACTTGCCTGGCTTGGCTGGGTGGAAGGGAACCAAGATTCTGATTCAACTGTGATTGGAATTCCTGACCCACTGGGAGGAAAACAGGAGGCAAGCTGCCAGATGGGCAGCTGCTTTTTAGAGGAAACATTTAAGTGGCATGGATTTCTGGCCCCCTTAAAAAGTAAATGACAGAGTAACAGTCAATGCAGCATAGCTTCTGAACAGAAGACACCTGGGAATTTGAACTAATCATCCAAACTTGATTACTGAGTGATTCGGAGAAGACATGCCTGGAATGCCTCAACTATTCATTGAGCTAGGCTGTTTTAGTTGACATTTTGATCATTAATAAAAATAACCCATACATACTTGCATTTAAAGCTCTTCGTTAAGTGTTTCTTAAGCATTTCTCTAGTATCCTAATGTCCAGGCTGACGACACACCATCTCAAAATATAGCTGCAGGAGAACAGAAAATGCCACCTCAAAATATCCTGAGAAATTGTAGGTAGAAGTTGCTCTGAAAAGCTATCCCTTTGTAAAAGAAATTTAAATGTATAAAGAAAATCTACATCAATAAAGTAGGGAGAAGGGTGCCATTGGCAACATTTATCACCTGCTTAACTGCACAACCTCTATCCATCATCCCTTTCCTCTTTGCCTTTTTGTACCTTAAGTCACCATCACCCCCAAGAAGCCCAAAGCCCCTATCCTCTTGTGTAACTCCAGAAGGTATGTAAGCTTCAATCTTTGAGTCTCATATATTGGTGGGACATTCCTGTGCATGTATGCTTTTTTCCTTATAATCTGACTTTGTCAATCTAACATAGCTTAGCCAAAGAACCTAGGATATAGGGAAGCCATTCTTTCCTTCCCTATATTCCCTACATTCCCTACATTCAAATTATACTAGATTCTTCCTCTGAACACCGTCTCTTCCATCTGACAATATTCTGAATGGATCTAACAGCTTCCCTGCCAACACAGCAACATAGCACAGAAAAAAATGAAAATGAAGTGCTTTGAATTTTGGGACTGGTTCCAACCCATTCTCAATCAGGTAACATGTTTTCCATGTAAATCCTGTTTCTCTGGTACTCAGTGAGTTTGAGCCTGAATTGGTCAAGTAATTATTTTATAGAGAAAAATTAAGTACAACGTTGAAGAAATTGTAAGTGTGGTGCTGAGGATGGAATCCAGGGT